CCGCTCAATGCCCAGGGTGAGGGGGCAACCGGGGGGCTTCGGGAGAACGGAGGGGACCGCGGAAGGCTGGAGGCGCCGCCCCGGGAGCCGGGAAAGGGGGGGAATCCCTGGTGTTGCTTGGCGTGTTTGGAGGGGATTCCCCGCTCTGAGGGGGCCTCTCTGGTCTGGAGAGTCTCCTTAGGCCCTTTGTAGCTGGCTTTTTGTGCTCTGGGGGACAGTTTGGGGGGCCTTAGGGTTGCAGAAGGCTGAGGCGTTGATTTGGGGTGGGCTTGTGGGTCCAGGAGGCTCCCTCTGGGCTGAAAGGCTCGTTTGGAGGGGAATTTGGGGGTCCACGAGACTGTGTCTGGGTCAGGGGGCTGGTTCGTGGAGTCTTTCCTGTTCTGGAAGAAACTCCCGGCTTGTGGGGTTTGTTTGAGGGACCCTTCGGGGCTTTGAGTACGAGGAGGAGGTTTGGGGGCAGCTCGTTACCTGTGGGGTCCCTCCTGTGCTTGGGGGGCTGCTTTGGGGGTCCCCTGTGCCTGTGAGGACTCCCCAGGGGCTGCTTAGGGACTGTGGCTCTGATTTGCAGCTTTGGGGGGTCCCTTCTCCCTGCAGGGCTGGTTTGGGGGGTCCTTCCTCAGCCGTGGGATGTGGGGGCCTCAGTGCCCACCCCCAGCGTTGTGTGGGTCCCCAGAGCCCTCCTTGCACCCCTTTGTGGGGGGAAGGAAAAGCAATTCCTGTGGGATTGAAACAGCGAGGGGGCCAGGGAGGCTGCAGGAAGGTTAAATGTGGGGTTTGTACCTGGTTTTGGGGGGCATTTGGAGCAGTGTTTTGAGGGGAGGGGTGTTACTGATTCCTGTGTGGATGGGGGGGGGACAAGTTTGATAAAAGCTGGGTTTTCTTGGGGGTGGGAAAGGGAAGCCTCGTGGTGGTCAGTAAAGGGGCGAAGGATTTTTTTTGTGTGTGTGTGTGTTCAGAGGTGGAAAACGGAGGGGACAAAGCTGGGGGGTGACATTTCTCAGGCTGGAGGGGGGCAGATGGAGCAGGAAAGGAAGGGTGTCCAGGATGTGGTGGTTTTCCTGGGCTGGGAATGGGGGCAGGGCTGCGAACGCCGGGGCCGGTTTGTCTGGATAAAGGGCTACCCTGTGGGATTTGGGGCTGGAAAAGGGGGGAGCCGATGAATTCTGGGACAAGCAATGCCTCAGGAAAAGTCCTGGCGTGGCCCAGGGTGTTGCGAGTGACCTGCGGGAAGGTCTGAGTCAGGGAGGGGCGGATTTCTTGGGAATGTCGGCTCGGGGCGTGCTTTGGGTTGAGAAGCAGCTGAGCTTTGGGATTTTGGGGCTTTGGAGCACAGGTGAGGCTGTAGGGAAGTGCTGGAAGTGGCTTCCTTCAGTCGCATGATGGTTCCTGGGTGTGATTAGTCACGATCTGCATTTTCTCCCGGGGCAGTCTGTGCTCGCTGGTTTCGGGGCGAGGAGGAGGAGGAAGAAGGCAGAAATTTGGCTTTGAAAAGCTCCTGTATAAATGGAAACTCGCCTCGAAACTCCCTGAACAAACCAGGCAGGGTCTGACTCAGAACTGCAGTTAGGATTTAAAGGAGAGGAAAAAAATTAAAAAAAAGAGAAACCCACCGGTAGCAGCAGCCAGAAAACTCTGTCTCCTTATGACTCAACACGTAGAAATACTTGGATTTAATCAACTCAGCTGGAGTTAAGGTAGGAGTGTGGATGTACAGCCAGGAATGTGGGTCTTAGGGTCTAGCTGTGAATTTTTTTTTTAAAAACACCTCATAAAACCTCAGTGAATGATTCCAGGCTGAATTCCCCACAGAGATCCATCCTCCTCTTCAACGTTGCAGTGCTCAAACCTTTCCCTGTGTCAGGGCAGAGCCCAGGGTGCTTCCCTGGCTTCTGCCTGGACTTTGCCCCGCTCTGGAATTGCGGATCTGTTACCTGGGAGGCAGAGCCGTGTGATTCATGGAAAGGCACGCTCCAGGAGGGTGACCCACAGCTGGGAAAGGAGGTCTGGAGGTGCAGGGCCAGCAGGGAACTTCCTACAAGAGAGCCAGGGCAACAGGGAATGGCTTTGCACTGACAGGGAGTGGGTTCAGAGGTTGGGGGAAGAATTCCCTGCCAGGGTGATGAGGGGTTGAGGTTTCCCAGAGAAGCTGTGGCTGCCCCATCCCTGGAAGTTCCCAAGGCCAGGCTGGAGCAATAATGGGAGGTCTCCCTGCCCATGGATGAGCTTTAATGTCCTTTCCCACCTGAACCATCCTGGGACTCCCGATGATCTTTGTAGGCTGTATATTTTGGGAGGGGAAAACACGTTTTCAGTGAGGTTCCTGCGCTGGCACAGAGCAGCTCGGTGCTGTTGGTGCCTCTGGATTACTTTGACAGCTGGAGATTTAGAACAGCTCTGTGTAAACATTGGAAATCAGCCCCGATGCCTTGGAGCTTGCTCTTTTTTGGGGCAGGTGAGCCGAGAGCTGGAGCAGCCTGGCACGTCTTAAATAAGGATTATAAAACCCCTTTCGAGTGGCTGTGAGCCGGGTATCATCTCACGGCTCGTTTTGCTGATTGTGCAGGGCTAAACGAGTCTGAAACCTTTCTCAGCTCTCAGACCTCTCCGGGTTGGCTCCACTCGGGTCACTGTTACTTGTAGCTTTTTGTTGCCCCTTGTTTCTCTCTGTGCCCTGCTAAAAAGTTCAGCTCTTTGCTCTCACGCTGAAAACCGAGCTGTGCCCCGGAGAATGGGCTGGGGCTGGGAACAATTGGGACTTTGTGGCCGGGCAGTGACATTTATCAGTCAGCCCCAGGCTCAGCTGTCAGCCTGGCTTTAACTCCTCGGCTCCAAACTGAGGCGTTTACCCAGCCGAGGTGGATGGAAACTCAAATTAGGGAGATGAGCGAGGTGCAAGTGACTCAACGCTGCAGCTTCTGTGTTTTCTGTGTGATTTTTGAAGTTGCTTTTAAGTCCTGCTCGATTCGTTAATGGGGTTTGGGTGTTGGGTTTGATATTTGGGCTGGAAGTGTGAGAATATTTAGGCTGAGCTGTTGATCAGGCAGGGCCTTGTTTTCAAAGCCCAGCTTAGACAACTCAGTGTTCTGATTTTCAGGAAAGACCTATTGATGTCACAAACTTCTGAAAGTAATTTTTGATTTCACTTGAATACAATTCCGTGGCTTAAACAGGATTGTAGCTCAATTTTTAATTTTTTTTTAATTTTTTTTTTTTTTCCTTAGCAGGGCCTTTTGCTTCTGACTTCAAACACTTAGCAACTTCAACTTCAAAACACTTTTAGCAACTTTCAACTTTTTGGGCATGGAATGCAAATATCATTCAAACAAGTCCTCTAAAAACTCAAGTGATGGGTGGGGAAGGTGTTTTTTTAAAAATAATCCGAGTGTCAGAACAGCATTTTAACAGGGAAGAGCATAAAACACCTTCCTGGCAGAATTATGGCAGTGTCCAGCTGCTTCCCGGTGTTTCCAGGGTGTTTTTCCCATCCATTCCAGCCCAACTTTGTGAGCTTTGCCTCAGGCCTGGCCTCCTCCCCCCCGAGCAGGTGACAATTGTCACCATTTCCTGACGTGTCACTTGCCACTTCTTTCACGCCGAGAGAGTTTTTTGTTGCTGCTCCTCGGGCAGATCCATATCTGCCTGCCGAGGCTTTGGTGCGAGAGGAAGCGAGTGAGTCACCCCCAGAGCCTGTCAGCGAACTGGGAGGGACTGGGAGGGAACTGGGAAGGAGCTGCAGCCGCCCGCGGGGGTGGACAGGGTGGAACAGTGACATTTTTGGACCTCACCCCTCTCCGGGCACGTGTCAGTCTGAGCAAGCTTCCTTCAGAGAGGGTTTCCAAGGAGTTCATCCAAACCCGTTTCGTTCCAGGGTTTTTCTCCGTGATCCAGGAGAGGATATTTTAGAAAAGATCTTTTTTAGGTTCTGGCTGATTTGTGGTTTAAGTTTGAGGGCTCGTTTTGGAGGTCTCTCACTTCTTTCGCTTGGAAAATGTTGCAGACTAAACATTTTGGCAGGGTAGGGACAGAGAGGGGTCACTCAGGAAGGGGAAGTTAAACCTGGCATGGGCAGAGTGGCAGGAAAAGCCAAAATCCTGATGGCAGCATGGAAATTTGCTGGGATCCACTTGTGGTGCTGACTTCACGTGTGGAAATGAGGGGATTTTATGGAAGAGGAAAATCCAGCAGCTCATGAGTTCAGCCTGGATTCTCCCTTAGAGGAAGAAAATGATTTGGGATTGCTCGAGGCCTTCCCAAGGATCCTTTTCATTCTGAGTAACAAATTAGCAGGGAGTGCTGTGCATCCTGTGCCCTGGGGCATTGGAAAGGGGATCCCGGTGACCTTTCCAGGGGGATCCGTGTTTTGCAATCCCTGGAAGCTGCAGCTGTTCCGAGCTGTTCTCACTCCCTCTCTCTCCGTGGAGCTCAGTTTTGGAGGAGCTGGTGGAACTGGGAACTCCTCACGGTGTCATTCCTTGTTTTTCCTTTACCCTGGGCTCAGTCCAGAGCTGCTGGCTCTGCTGGAATCTCTGATTCAGGAGCTGGTGCCACAGCAGCCCCTGGAACTGGAGATTGTGGGGGTGCTGGATTTCACTCCCAGCCATCTCCAGGCCCTGTCAAGCCAGGAATTCATTTCCCTGATCCCTCCTGATTTCTTTCTGCTGGTTAATGACCTTTCCATAGGCTTGCAGCTTATTTTTGACCATTTGAGAAGAAATTAACCTTTCAAATTTGCTTCAGATCAGGCTGTGAGTGAGGAGAGCCCGATCCTGGTGGCATCTGTGTGTGTGTTCAGCTAAAACTACCCAAAATCCCTCCCACCTGCACAGATAACATCTGGATTGACTGGGTAACATCTGGATCGATCACCATTCCCTGATAACACCACCAGGAGCTGCCTCCCAGGCACACCCTTGCAGCTCCAGGAATGTTTATTCCCAGCTGTTTGTCCTGCTGGGTCTCTGCTTTTCCTCCCTGGATGCTTCTGCTCCCTTTTGCAGCCCAACCTTTTCATTTTTTGGTTTCTTTCCATGCCTTATCTCACTTTCTGACTAGAAAATCTGAAGCTTAATTGGCTGAAAAAGGATTCCTTGTTTCCTGCTGCCCACAGACCTGGTTACAATTTATTCTCACCGGTTCTCCTGGGGTTTTGAAGAGCAAATTTACTTGGTAACACAGGGAGAGAGAATTTATAAAATATTTACCTGGAAAAATCGGAATTTGTAGACAAGAAATTTTAATTTTCTTAATTAAAAGCCTGATTTTACTTTTTCAACTTGATATCTCTCAGTAACCCAAACTTTTAAAATTAACCTTGTGTGCTACATCAACTCCTTATCCTGCTGGAAATAACTTTTTTCAAGCTTAAATACAGTGCTTTACATTTTTAATCACTCCAGAGCTAGGAGCTAATTAAATGCTTCAGGAATATTCCTTTGGGAAGAGGAGCTGGTGTCATTCCTATTTTTCAGAGGAGCTGGTTTTGCCACTCTCAGGACACGTGGAAATGAAATATTCCACTTCTTAATCGCTTGGTAAATTGTTTGTACAAGTGCCTTTTAAAATAATTGGGGTGAAATTCCCTCTTTGATTTGAAGAGTATCCAAAATGACCCTGATTTGATACAACTTCCAGGGTAAAAATAGCTCTGGATCTGGAGGCTCTTCCAACCAAAATCTGGTGCTGGAAAGAAAATCTAGGAATGGAGATTTTTCTTTTTCCTCATTTTACCATTAAATTATTTATAAAAACATTTTTTATTATCCTTAATTAAGTTCTAATTGGGCTTTCACCTCTTAATTTTCTATGATCTGTGAGAGAGTGAATTGATAAATGTAAGGATTGAGTCTGAAGTGTTTAGAGGGGACTCTTCCATCCTGTGGTTAAAATATTCCAGGATTCATGATGGAAATTTGTATTTCAGTCACTCAGAGCAGAAGCTGCGTCAAGGTCGGGGGAGGTGATTGAAAACAGCTTTTCCCTTGCCTCTGGCAAGCTAATTAATATCATTTTTGGCACTGAAAGCTGTACTTTAAGGGAATAATTGCTGTTCTTTGGGTGATTTCTGACTCGATGGCAGTGAAAAAGGTAATTTTGTGGTGCTTAATTTGCCTATTTGAAAGCGAGGGTCTCATTAAACACCGGGCACTCCACGAGTTTGGGATGGGAGCTCCATGGGAGTGTGTTTTTTCCCTAATAATTATCCTCACTCGAGTGTGCCACCTTGACCTTTCCACTCCAGCTGCAGGTTTGTGACTTCTGCCTTCAGGCTGGGATTTTACCCATCTGATTTCAACCTTTTTTTTTTCCCCTCCTCAAAAAAAGGAAACATCAGCAGCAATTTCTTGGCTTGGTTATTTTTAAAAGCTTTGAAAAAACGTGTTGATAATTTAAATATTTCAGTCCTGATTTGAGGTAGTTTGGGATAACTCCCATTTTCATGCTCCTAAATTTCATGGCTTCGCTCCATTCTTTATTGCTGAAATTTTGTATTTTGAGTTTTGGCTCTTCAAACTGAAAGCTGTGGCTTCCTTTAAAGCCCAGGCCTGTAAATAGAGATAAGGCTGTGAGTAACACAAAATTATTATGGTTATAACTGGAATAATTGAGAATAACTAAAAGTTATTGCTGCTAAATGACCATTTGGCCATCACTTTGATAGATTTCTGGGGGATATTTGGAGTTGGGTGAAATTTATCTGCTAGCAAGAGCTCAAATACATGAAAAATTGATTATATTATATTATTTTATTTATTATACTCTTACTTCTGCTCCTGCTGCTGGTTTTGTTCAGAAAATAGAGCCACAGCAGTGCTATTTTTTATATATTTGGGATTAATCCAAGCAGGTGGGGCTGTGCCCATGACATTTCCAAGTGTGTGCTTGGCTTTGAGCTGTTTTCTGTTATTCCAGGACACCTCTCTGGGGAAGGGAACACAGAATTCCTTGTTCTTGGTGGCTCTGTGAGCAGGAATTACCCCAAATCCAGAGAGAATATTCACCATATTTGTGATTGGGGCTATCAGAACTTTGATTTATTTGGTGTTTTTTTCAGTGTTTGTCTTAAATTGAGTTTCTCTGTGGGAGTTCAGTGATGGGAGCAGCATCCATCAACGCTTTTCCCGCTGTTTTTCCCTGTTCCAGGTGTTCTGTTGGAGGATACTTGGCACATTTATGGCGATTCTGAGCGTCAGGGCAGACTTCTGCCAGGCCCAGCACAGCACCCTGGCTGCCAAGTGAGCTCAGGGGGCTCCCCACGTGTGTGCGTGCCACAATTCCCCTTTTTGGCCTTCAAGACTCCGGGAACGCGGCTCAAATTTATGGGATATCTCCTGCCCCCTTGGAAGCAGATTCCTGTCACTGACTCTGGCAGAACTCAGCGCCAGGAAAACCAAGTGGAGACAAAGCCCTGCCCTTACTCCTCACCAGTGCCTCGATGTAGAACAGGCTGCCTAGCCTCACGTGCAGTGGGAATTTCGGGAGTCTGAAGGATAACACCCCGCCAGCAATTGAGGATTCTGAAGCAAACCTGCTTTTTGGAGGAGCAAAACCCCTGAGGAACAAACCCATCAAAGCAAGCTCTGATCAATCCCAGGCATATTAGTGGTCTTTTTGATGTTTTCTGCTGTGAAGTGTTTCCAAGGTCATTGATTTTTATTTTTTCCCCCCCTTTTTATTTTGATTTTTCTTTCTTTTTTTTTCTTTCTTTTTTTTTCTCTTTTTTTTTCTTTCATTTTTTTTCTTTCATTTTTTTTTCTTTCATTTTTTTCTTTTTTTTTCTTTCTTTATTTTTTCTTTCTTTTTTTTTTTCTTTATTTTTTCTTTTTTTTTTTTCCTTTTTTTTTTTTTTTTATCTTTGTCCCCCTCACACATTTTCTTGGCCATTATGAACCGTCCAGCCCCTGTGGAAATTACTTATGAGAATCTACGTTTCCTGATCACTCACAACCCAACCAATGCAACCCTCAGCAAGTTCATCGAGGTAAGGAGTTAAAAAAAAAATTCCCAAATTCCTCAAAATTCCTGTGCAGGAATTTGCTGGCCAGTCCTTCCTCACCTCTGGTGCTCTTTGCCTGTTACCTGAAATTTATGGGGTTTTTTTTGTCTTTATTTTTCACATTCTTTTCACAGTATGAGAATCCCTGATGGGTTTTTTTTCTGAATTCCTGCATTTCTTGGCTCGGATGAACTTCAGTTTCAGGATACAAACACCCCCCTACCCCTTGCCATCAAGGGACAAGAATAATGGGTCCAAAAAAATTCCCTAATTCCTCAAAATTCCTGTCCAGGAGTTTGTTGCCCAGTCCTTCCTCACCTCTTTGCCTGTTACCTGAAATTTCAGGGTTTGTTTTGTCTTTATTATCCACCTTCTCCTCACAGTATGAGAATTCACTTGTTTTTTTTTTTCCTGAATTCCTGCATTTCTTGGCATGGACGAGCTTCAGTTTTTGGGATACAAACACACCCTGCCCCTTGCCATCATGGCATCCTGGGACAAGATAATAGGTTCAAACAGAAAAATGGGAAATTTAGGTTAAAAATACAGGCAGTTCCTCCCTGTGAGGGGCTGGGATGGATTTCCCAGAGAAGCTGTGGCTGCCTCTGGATCTCTGGAAGTGTCCAAAGCCAGGTTGGTGTCCTTAACCAGAGGAGTGGGCTTTGAGTTCCCTTCCCACCCAAACCATTCCATGGTTCTGGTGTTCTTTGGAATATTTTGTGACTCTAAATGTTCTTTTTTCATTAAGTAATGCACTGTTTTTAATAAATCAACCATTGCTCAGCTGCTGCTTTTTAAGAGGCAGTTAAGGATTGGAACTGAGCTTTCTCCTCCCTCAGAAAATGAAATACAAGACTCAAAGTCAAGTTTTAAGTTTACAGGATGAGTTATCTCACTCCTGTGTCCATCCCAGAGCTGTCAGGGATTTCAGGTGCCAGAACTGATCCATGAAAAGTGGCGTCTGCTGGGCCACCTTGTGTCTGACACAGCAACATCTTAAATGCAGCAAAATTCAATTTTCTGGGTGAGTGGCAGATGGGCTCAGCAGAGGAGCAGCAGCAGCACAGTGGATTTCACATCTTTGTGCCCTTCTGGCTTCTCTCAAGAGGGTTTTTATCTGCTGTGTGCAGCTTTTTGTCATTCCAGAGGGATCCTGTCACCTCACACTGGTGTCTGAGTGTCCCCTCGCGTGGATCTGCTCAGATATCACTGCTCCATTTTCCCTCACAGCCACATCCTTTTGTTTTTATTTCCCCCCCATTTATTGAGAATTTTCTCCCTTTCTCAGGACTCTCTCTGCAATAGATATTCCTGCTGACTGTGAGGTACAGCCCCAAACAGCAGAGGAAATGCTGGTTTCTATTTTTTTATATATTTGGGATTAATCCAAGCAGGTGGGGCTGTGCCCATGACATTTCCAAGTGTGTGCTTGGCTTTGTGCTGTTTTCTGTTATTCCAGGACACCTCTCTGGGGAAGGGAACACAGAATTCCTTGTTCTTGGTGGCTCTGTGAGCAGGAATTACCCCAAATCCAGAGAATATTCACCATATTTGTGATTGGGGCTATCAGAACTTTGATTTATTTGGTGTTTTTTTCAGTGTTTGTCTTAAATTGAGTTTCTCTGTGGGAGTTCAGTGATGGGAACAGTATCCATCAATGCTTTTCCCGCTGTTTTTCCCTGTTCCAGGTGTTCTGTTGGAGGATACTTGCCACATTTATGGCGATTCTGAGCCCAGGGCAGAGCTTAGAGTGAACTGGAGATTCTGAGCCCAGGGCAGAGCTTAGAGTGAACTGGAGCAGCTTTTGTTTGATCCACTGATTTTTTATCTGGCACTGAGTGCTACTTATAGTGCATTACCAGGAAGCTGGAGCACGATGGGGTGTGTGTTCTGTTCCTCCCTGCTTCCAAATGTCAACACTGGCTGAAGCAAACAGTCCCAGGCTTCTATTTAAAGAGGAGAAGAAGCTGCATGGAGGATATAAGCAGCTATTTTAACTTTATTCCTATAATTGCAATTTTTTTTTCCTCCTCAGAAACGTTTCTCATTTGTCTTGTTGCTTGTAACTTTTCCTCATGAATTTTATCCCTTGCTCCTTCCTTGGGCAGTCACCTTGGTGCCCTGAAACTGTGGAAAATGTTGAGTTTTATAGGTGATAAAAAGAGATTTGTCATTCATCGGTGCTCAGGTGTTTTCCTTTCTCTTCAAGGAGCTGAAGAAGTACGGGGTGACAACCTTGGTGCGAGTTTGTGATGCCACTTATGATCAAGCTCCAATCGAGAAAGAGGGAATCCAAGTTCTAGTGAGTTGCCTTTAAAACTGGCTAAAAATGTGAAATTTTTGTGTCTAGAAGTTGTGGGGATCTCTTCATACTTGGGGATTATCCAGCTTGGCCAAAAGTCAATTTAGCACCAGGTAAAGGTGGGTTTGAGAAACTAATTTTTTGAATTTTTTTTGGCGTGGTTTTGGATTTGTTGAGATATTTTGTTTGCTTTTTAGTGATTATTTTGGTAATATGTGGTGCTCAGCCCTGTGGTTGTAGCCTGGTTTGGTCCTTGTCTCTGGCCCACAGCGTTTTTTGGTTTTGCTGTTGTTTTTTACAGGATATGGATAAAATTCCCTTGTTGTGACAGAAAGTGCCACTTTTGAGCCTGTAGGTGACACATTGCCACAAATTTCTGTGGAATGGCTGTGGCAGGAGAGAATCCTGGAATGTTTTGGGTTGGAAGGGACCTTAAAGCTCCTCCATGCCATGGACAGGGACACTTCCACTCTCCCAGATTGCTCCAACCTGGCCTTGGACACTCCTGGGACAGCCACAGCTTCTCTGGGAAATCCATCCCAACCCTTCCCCACCCTCAGAGGGAAGAATTCCTCCCAAAATCCCATCCAGCCCTGCCCTCCTGACCTCTGAGTGGAGCTTCCCAGTTGAGCAGGTGGAATTCCTGCCCTGCTTGCTCACGGCTGCCGTTGTGCAATGGTGTCTGACTGTTTCAGGGAGGTTTTTTTAAGAGGTGTGTGCTCACCCCGAGCTTCCAGGCAGTGTTTTTCCAGGCAATACTTGGGAATTATTAGAATGTGCCTGATACAATCAGTTTATTTTGCTGGGATGAGTAACACCCCAGTGTTGTGAGGGCAGAAATTACACCTCAGCCTTCCTGCAGCTCTCCTGATTTTCGTGGCTCAGCTGTTGGAAAACTTCTGCAGTTTTCCATGAGGAGAAAAAAAATTTTATCCTGGCATATCAGTGAAAATTCCACATCCAGGTCACTCAGGTTCCTTGGCTTCCAGCCCTGCAGAGCTTTTATTCCAGTTCCAGGCAGCCACGTGGGCCTCGGTGTTGTTGGAAAAGTCCCTCCTTGCAGGGCTGCCCTCTGGAATTGCGTTTTTCCTCCTTCCAGAGCTGGGATTTGGACACACCTCTCCCCTGGACACTCCTCAGGCTGCCAGAGGCTGGAAGGATTAAATTTGTGCTCTGGAATCCCTCTGAGCCCTGAGTTAAGCTGGGGCTTGGGAGAGAATTCCTGTGCCAGAGGGGAGATTCTTCCCAGGGCAGATTCCCAGCTGGGATGGAATTTCCACCTTTTCCAGGCCCTGGGGCTGCTGCAGGAGCTGGGCAGTGCTCTGGAGCCCGTGTTTCTAAAATAATTCATGCTTTTGGTTCTCTGGAAGCTTTAAAACCTCAATTTTGAACCGAAAGCTGCTCTTTGAGGAAGCTTTGCTAAAAAAAAAACTGGAAATGGGGTTTCCTGCAGCTCTGCCTTGGTGTGGAACCTCTCACTTTGAGCAGAATTTCCTGTTTGAGATTTGTCCTCAGCCTGAAAAGCCTCAGGACACTGCTCCAGGAGGGGGATAAATCCAGCTCTTCTTCCCTGTGAATTCCTGCTTTTTTTCCAGGCAGAGTCCTGTTGCTGCTCTGAAATGGGATTGAGTTACCCCTGGCTGAGAAAATAACACCTCACTATTTAAAGCTAATATTTGCCTGTAAAAAAAAAATAACATTTGAGATTAAAAACACAGCCTTGGGGGAGATCAGTGCCTCTTTTAGCAATATGTAATGTCTATTTTAGCACTGCTGAGGTCAAAAATGTGGTGAAACCCCTGAAAATGGGAGTGTTTTGGCAAACCTGGTCATGGGTCATGGCAGCTCCAGAGCTTTTTTTATTTTCCAGAGTGAGAAAATAAGGAATGAGCCGTTCCCTAGGTGCTGGAATACTATTCCCTGCACGTGTTTGTCAGCAGGGATGGGATTCAGGAGCTGGAGATGGATTTAATTCCAGTTCAGGAACACAAATGTGACGTCAGGAAAAGCAGGAGGGGTTTTATTCCTGAGAGGATTTTTTGCGCTTTTCGGCAGCCTGAGGAGCTGTGGTGGCTTTGTTCATCTTCAGGATCCAAGGGATATTTTCTTGTTCTCCTTCTCTCACTCCTTGATTTATTGGATCAGATTTTTTTACCCTCTGTGCCCCCCAAGAGCATGGAGAATGCCACAGGCAGGTGGGAATTCCTTGCTGTGGGATTTCAGGGTGGAAGTGGAAGCTGTGGGCTCACCCTGCTCAGATCCAGGCAGCTTTGGGAGTTCCTAATTTCAGTATTTTTGGAGAAAAAGTTCTTTATCACCTCAAAGTTCTATCACTTCTTCACCACCTGCTCGTTGCCATTCCAAAAAAAGGGAGAAGAGGATAAATCCCTTTCCTTTCCTGCCTTTCCCCCTTTGTACAATCCTGGTTATTTATCACAGTTTTCATTGTGCAGAATTTGCTTTTGTGTCCTGTCCAACAGGAATCCAGACGTGGCAGAATTCAGAATAAGGGAAAAAAAAATCCTTGAAAACTTTTGCTGCCTTTCCAGAATTAATCTTGTTCCTGTGTTCTGTCAGTGCTGGGATGCTCTGGGATCAGCTGGGATTGATTCAGGCCAGCCCAGGAGTTGTGTGAATATGAAGGAAAAGCTTTAATTTCAATTAAACACAGAAATCCTCTTTTAAAAGCCACATCCTGCAGTCTGTACCTCTCTTCCTGGGACAGGGGGGTGCCACAGACCTAAAATAACCCAGTGGGATTGAGTGGAAAATCCCATAAAAACCTTTTATTACAAAGAACAAATTTTGATTCGTGATCCTGTGGCCTTTTCCTTCTCTGTGCTGTCCCAGATATTTTTCATTTTCCAAGCACTTTTACAAAGGACTCTGCACTCTTCAGGCTGGGTGAATTAATCCCATATAAAATTATTTCAGTGTTTTTGAGGTTTTATTGGTCTCAGGCTCAGCTCCCACCTTGCAGCACATTTCTGAGCTGTGTTTGCTGTTCAGGAAGTGTTGAAGTGCATCTCAAAATGAGAGCTCTGGTGGTTTTCAGCTGTTCCTGTGTGCTGCTTTGGGGTTTCAGAGGATATTACTTCATCAGAACCAGTTCTTAAAGTGCTCCAGGAAAGGCCTTTTTGTGCCTGATGAGGGGAGAGGGCTCTTTTTAAAGCAATTTCTTTCCATTTTCAGAGTTTGTGGAATAATGCAGGACTCTGCCTTGAGTTTTGTGGCTAAAATACATCACAATCATCTAAAGAAAATTGCTAAATAACTCTACAAAATACTATTTTTTTCCCCCTTTACATCCTTTTTCCAGCACTCCCCACATCCAAGAAAATTATAAATTGTGAGATGTTGTGCTTGGGCCTGAAAGGCAAGATGTGGAGCACAAATTCCAGGAGAGCTGTGTGTCCTCAAGAAAAATGAAATATGGGAAGCTGCTTCCTTGGCATTTTTGATTATTGATATTAAATGTGGCCTGGATTTAATGGTGATGCCCCTTCAGCAGCAAAATATGTGACTTTTTGCCATTATTTGAGCACCTTTCTGCTGGTTTTTGTTTTCATTTTGAAATTAGAAACACCCAGGTGATTGGTAACTCCCTGAATTCCTGGCTATTATAATAATATATTATATTTATTATCTATATATATATATATATAATCAATATCTATCTATATATTATTATATTATAATAATAAGCAATAAGGATAGTAATAATAGGAATTCAGGGAGTTACCAATCACCTGGGTGTTTCTAATTTCAAAATAAAAACAAAAACCAGCAGAAAGGTGCTCAAATAATGGCAAAAAGTCACATATGTTGCTGCTGAAGGGGCATCACCATTAAGTTGATATATATATTATATTATGTATATTATATATATATAATAGTTATATTATATATATTATATAATATATATAATATATATTATATATAATATATTATATATATAAAATATATTATATATATAAAATATATTATATATTATATATATAATAGTAGTAATAAGTATATATGTACTATATATAATATATATTATATTATATATATAATAGTAATAATAAGTATATATGCAATATATTATATATATAATATCAAATAATAATATCAATATATTATAATTATATTGTAATAATAGGAAGAGCTGCTCCGTTGGAATTTGGAATTTTTGGGAACAGCTCCATCTCCTCAGAGCCTGAATCACAAATAAGATTTTAAAAGGATGCCACAGCCACCAGCAGAACTCTGAGAGTTCTTCTCTCTCCTGTGTTTATTTGAAAATGCCTATTGATTTTCACATCTTTTTTTAATAAAATGGGATTTCAAGGGCAGGGATTTTTCTAAAAAACCCTTTATTGCAGAGGAGTTCACATGGGGCTTCACTGCAAAGTGCAATTAAATGGTTGTTAAACATTTAATGTTGCATTATATCGACCTGCAAACTCCTGTGCCACCTGAGAAAGAAAAAAAAAAAACCCAGAACTGTGTTTATTATGCTTTTATTTTATTTTTTTACTAAATCCAGCGTTTTTCTCTCGCTGCTGGAGGTTGTGGATTTCATAGAATTTTTTCCCCCCCAGGACTGGCCGTTTGATGATGGAGCACCACCCCCAAGTCAGATCGTGGAGGACTGGCTGAACCTTTTGAAAACCAAATTTCGGGAGGAGCCTGGATGCTGCGTGGCTGTTCACTGTGTGGCAGGATTGGGAAGGTCAGAGCCCTGCTCCCCTGCCTTTAAACTGGATTGAAATTTCATTTCATTTGTCAGGAAGGTGTTGAACAAACCCCAGTTTCTCTGTTTTCTCCCAAATCATTTAAACCAAGAACCTGAAATTTGTGTCATGAAAGCAGCGGGGTACTTAAAAATGTAAGCACAATATAAGCAATAAATATAAAATAAATAGAAGAAAAAAAAATATATAAATAAATAAAAAATAATAAAAATAAAATATAACACATATATAACAATAAAATAAAAATAAACTACATAAATAAAATAAAAAATATTAAAAATAAAATATAACATATATAACAATAAAATAAAATAAAAATAAATATATATATAAATAAAATAATAAAAATAACAAAAGTAAAGTACAACATAAATATATAACAATAAAAAGAAAAATAAATAAAATATAAAAATAAAATATAAAAATAAAATATAAAATAAAATATAAAATAAAATATAAAATAAAATATAACAATATAAGCAGTACAGCTTAAAAATATCGAGTAATTTCATAATTAAACAAAAATCTTGGAGAAATGGCTCAGGACACTTGAGTCAGTCATGAATTCATTAATTTAAAAGTATTGTGAATTCATTAATTTAAAAGTGCTGTGAAATCACTAATTTAAAGGTGTTGTGAATTGATCAGTTAAAAAATATTATGAATTCATTAATTTAAAAATATTCTTTGTGCTAAAACAATAAACCTTTCTGTGCTACTTCACACAAATATAATACATTTTTATAGTAGTTTTTTTTTTATAAATTTCCTTTTGTCTTCCACTGATTAAACTATTTGTGGAAATGAAAAAAAAAGGCCATTTAGGAGCACTGCTTTAATTACTTTTCTTCCTCTCAAGTGGCTCCAGTTTGGAGAAGTCAGCCTGGAGGTTCTTCCTCACAACTTCCAGCTTTGGAAAAATAAAAAAAATGCTGCAATTCCCAAATGGAATCCCTGGATGTTGTGATTATCTTGTGGGCTTGGAAAATAAATGGAATTTAGGTGTTAATATTGTTCCAGTTGCCATGGGATGTTAATATTTAAGGAAAACAAAGATTAAAGAGTGTGGATGCATCAATTGTTAAATTTCTACCTCTGGAAGAAGAGAGAGGAGGAGATGAGGAGCCAGAGGGAGAAATGGCCAATATTTCCTGGCACAGGAGCCATTTACATTTGTTTTTCCATTTGGGCTCTTATTTTTATCCAAGGAACATCTTCAGGACTTCCCCACGTGTGGCTTGGGTGGTTCTCTAGAAAAGAAATTATTCTATATTGGAAAAAAAAAAAAATATAGAATTATTCTATATTTTTCTTTTAGAATATTTTCTTTTAGAAATATTTCTTTATTTTTCTCTACTTTTCTCTATTTTTCTCTATTTTTAGAATATTTCTTTTAGAAAATATTCTATATTATTTTATTCTATATTTTATTCCATATTATCCCAGTGACCTTTGGAGTTTCAAATTCACTCTTGGAGAGTCAATAATTGTTTTTATGCAGGTGCCGGGTGATGGTGGGAGTTATTCTTCCTGAATTTTCTTATTTTATCCACAGGGATTATCCAATTCCTGGCACCTCTTTAATCTTTCTTTACACCCTTAGAGATGCCTGTTGCACTGTGGGCTGGAGAAAAATGAATGTATTCTGGTATTCCTGCTTGTTAAAAACCCATTTTTTTACCCTTAACTCACTTCCAAAATGAAGATCCCAAAGCAGAAAAATTCTACTTATCCCTGTTCCTTTACAGAATTACTTAAATAAAAATATATAAATATCTATAAAGCCATAGCTCTGTGTCTGCACAGCTCAATCCACACCCAAGAGCGTTCAAGAGATGTTAAAAACCAGAAAATTAGGTTAAAGTGAGATAAAAAAAACCCCATAAAAATCCAGAATTATTATTATACCCCAACCACTAAAGAGCTGCTATTGATTTTTATTTCCTTTGGAAGCGGAATCCCTCACAAAAAAGTCATTTTACATCGGGCAGAACACCTTTCTGTAGGCAAAGAAAAAAACCCTTCAAGCTGCTTGTTTGGAAGAGGAATTTGATGAATTTTGAAGGATTCAATTTATTATTTCTGTGGATCTTCCTTAAATATTGATTTTTTCCTGCAGGGCTCCCGTTCTGGTTGCACTCGCTCTCATTGAATGTGGAATGAAGTATGAGGATGCAGTTCAGTTTATAAGGCAGTAAGTAAAAATTAACTTATTTTTTAACTTTAATTCCTATGGTTTTTGACCGGCCTGAGCCTGTTAAGGAAGAGATTTGGTGTTTTTTCTAAGAGTTTTATCCTAAAATAAATAATATCTCATTAAAATCTGGGTTTAAATGTGAAAAAAAGGCTCAAAAATTCTGATTTTTGTGAGGTGAAAAGGTCTGGGCCAGGACTGTAATTATGGCTCATCATTAATAAGGATTAACAGGTGATGTCTCTTTAAATCTGGGTATAAATGAGAAGAAAAAGCTCAAATATTTTTAATTTTGTGAGGTAAAAGTGTCAAGGATGGGGCTGTAAAAGTTGCTGCTAGCTAATGAGGATTAACAGGTGATCAGTCCTAAAAAATCTGGAGTTATATTTTAAGAAAAGCCTCAAATATTCTGATTTTGTGAGGTAAAAATGTCTAGGCCGGGACTACAAAAATTGCTGTTAATTAATGAGGATTAATAAGTATTCTGGGTTTAAATGTGAAGCAAAGCCTCAAAAATTTTGATTTTTGTGAGGTAAAAGTTGCTGCTAATTAATAAGGATTAACAGGTGATCACTCTTAAAAAATCTGGGGTTATATGTAAAACAAAGCATCAAATATTTTGATTTTTGTGAGGCAAAAATGCCAAGGATGGGGCTGTCAAAATTGCACTAATTAATGAGGATTATCAGGTGATCACTCCTAAGAAATCTGGGGTTATATCTTAAGAAAAGCCTCAAATATTTTGATTTTTGAGGTAAAAGTTGCTGCTAACTAATGAGGATTAACAGGTGATCTCTCTCCTCAAAAATCTGGCTTTAAATGTAAAGCAAAGCCTCAAATATTTTGNTTTGTGAGGTAAAAGTGTCAAGGATGGGGCTTTAAAAACTGCACTAATTAATGAGGATTAATAAGCGATTTCTCTATTCAAAATCTGGCTTTAAATGTAAAGCAAAGCCTCAAATATTCTGATTTTGTGAGGTAAAAATGTCTAGGCCGGGACTACAAAAATTGCTGTTAATTAATGAGGATTAATAAGTGATTTCTCTATTCTCTATTCTCTATTCTGGGTTTAAATGTGAAGCAAAGCCTCAAAAATTTTGATTTTTGTGAGGTAAAAGTTGCTGCTAATAATGAGGATTAACAGGTGATCTCTCTCCTCAAAAATCTGGGTTTAAATGTAAAGCAAAGCCTCAAATATTTTGAATTTTGTGAGGTAAAAGTGCCAAGGATGGGACTGTAAAAATTGTGCAAATTAATGAGGATTATCAGGTGATCACTCCTAAAAAATTTGGGGTTATATCTTAAGAAAAGCCTCAAATATTTTGATTTTTGTGAGGTAAAAGTTGCTGCTAACTAATGAGGATTAACAGGTGATCTCTCTCCTCAAAAATCTGGCTTTAAATGTAAAGCAAAGACTCAAATATTTTGAATTTTGTGAGGTAAAAGTGCCAAGGAAGGGAATGTAAAAATTGTGCAAATTAATGAGGATTAACAGGTGATCACTCCTAAAAAATCTGGAGTTATGTGTTAAGAAAAGCCTCAAATATTCTGATTTTTGTGAGGTAAAAATGTCTAGGCCGGGACTACAAAAATTGCTGTTAATTAATGAGGATTAATAAGCAATTTCTCTATTCAAAATCTGGGTTTAAATGTAAAGCAAAGTCCCAAAAATTTTGATTTTTGTGAGGTAAAAGTTGCTGCTAACTAATGAGGATTAACTCCTAAAAAATCTGGGTTTATATCTTAAGAAAAACCTCAAATATTTTGATTTTTGTGAGGTAAAAATGCCAAAGATGGGGCTGTAAAAATTGTGCTAATTAATGAGGATTATCAGGTGATCTCTCTCCTTAAAAATCTGGGGTTAAATCTTAAGAAAAGCCTCAAATATTTTGATTTTTGTGAGGTAAAAGTGTCAAGGATGGGGCTTTAAAAACTGCACTAATTAATGAGGATTAATAAGCGATTTCTCTATTCAAAATCTGGCTTTAAATGTAAAGCAAAGCCTCAAATATTCTGATTTTTGTGAGGTAAAAATGTCTAGGCCGGGACTACAAAAATTGATGTTAATTAATGAGGATTAATATGCGATTTCTCTATTCAAAATCTGGGTTTAAATGTAAAGCAAAGCCTCAAAAATTTTGATTTTTGTGAGGTAAAAGTTGCTGCTAATAATGAGGATTAACAGGTGATCACTCTTAAAAAATCTGGGGTTATATGTAAAGCAAAGCCTCAAATATTTTGAATTTTGTGAGGTAAAAGTGCCAAGGATGGGACTGTAAAAATTGTGCAAATTAATGAGGATTAACAGGTGATCACTCCTAAAAAATCTGGAGTTATGTGTTAAGAAAAGCCTCAAATATTCTGATTTTGTGAGGTAAAAATGTCTAGGCCGGGACTACAAAAATTGCTGTTAATTAGTGAGGATTAATAAGCGATTTCTCTATTCAAAATCTGGGTTTAAATGTGAAGCAAAGCCTCAAAAATTTTGATTTTTGTGAGGTAAAAGTGTCAAGGATGGGGCTTTAAAAACTGCACTAATTAATAAGGATTAATAAGTGATTTTTCTATTCAAAATCTGGCTTTAAATGTAAAGCAAAGCCTCAAATATTCTGATTTTTGTGAGGTAAAAGTGTCAAGGACCCGCCTATAAAAATTACTTTAAATTAATAAAAGTTAAATCCTGCTGAGGCTGAGCCAACAAATGGGGGAGCTCAGCACTCCCAGGGGAATTTTGGGGAGCAAAATCTCTGGAATAATAAATCCAGTGACAACTCCCCTGGAAATGAAGCTCAGCAGGTGAGATTTGTGTGGAGGGAACTTTGCCACAAAGCAATTCCAGCTTTTTGTAGCTTCCCAGGGTTTCCAGTTATCCTTGGATTGCTGGAAAAAAACAGATTTTCCTGCCTTTTTTTGAAATTCTTTTTTTTTTAATTTTTGTGGGCCCCTTTTATCTCTTTGTCTTTTGGTGACCTTGATATCTCCCACTCCACAAAATAAAAAAACACCCAATATTTGATTGGAATATTTCCCTGAAATATTATGCTTTATCCTTCCACGGGACACAAATTCCCGCCAAAATTCTGCTTTTTAACGCTTAAAAACTCATTAAAACACCAATTAATCTGCCTGAAGCGAGCAAAACGCTGCTTTTGCCATTGATATCCACCTTCCTTGTGTCTTTTTTTAGGAAAAGGAGGGGAGCTTTCAATTCCAAACAGCTGCTTTATCTGGAGAAATACCGGCCCAAGATGCGATTACGCTTCAAAGATGCCAACGGTCACTGCTGTGTTCAATAAATAAACACACACAAATCACAAAGTTATCTCAAAAGGAAGGCAGAAGTGAGCAGGGGGCTCTTCTGTGGACTCTTGGCACCTGGAAATGTGAATCTGGAATGGAAAAAAAAAAAAAGAAAAAAAAAAAGTCATCAAATTAGTGGTGGAGTCAGCGTTCCTCAACCTCTGTCCTTAAAAAAGCAAAATTAAATAAAAGGGTGATGATGATTGAGAGATAAAAAACCCAAAATTAAAAAATATATAATAATAATAATAATAAAAAACCCAATTAAGAGAAACATTTCAGTGAAGGATTGTTTTCTCCTTAAAGCTGCAAGGAGAAAAGCAGTTTCTGAAACCTTCTGTATTTTTAACTTTTTAAGAAAAGAAATAAAGTCAACTTTATGTCTAAGGAAAAGCAGCAGAGCATTGCCTTGTGCAGAAAGGATTTTCTGGAGGTGAGGGAAGCACCCCCAGCCAGGGATATCAGTTCCTTTTTTAAATCTTTAAAAAAAAAGGGAATTTTTAACCTGGCAGGGACAGGAGGAGGAGCTGGCTGGGAACAGCCTGACATCCCTAAACCCCTTTTTGGGCACATCCCAGGGATTGGGGGACGTTTTCCATGGAATTCTGACTCCTGGGGGGCTTGGACAGGAACCTCACTGCTGGAACCCTCTGGTGAATCTGTTTTTGGGAGTGTGAGTGATTCTCTGCGTGTGTCAGTCTGATTTTTCCTAAAGAGTTTGGCTGAAATGTTAATTTTAGACAGAAAATCCATCCTGGCACACAAGACTGATACTCCAAAGTGTCCTGAGTGAGCAAGGGGCGATTCAGACAAGGATTTAAAATTAATTTCTCTGTCACAAAGCTGGAAAAGGCTTTATTTTTTTATTTTTTTTATTTTTTTTTCTCCTGTCCACATTCCCTGCCTTGCTGAGCACAAGAAATTGGGATTTTGGGGGAGGGCCTCACTTGGTATGAGAGGGACTTTTCTCTGCTAAACCTCTGATTGCCTTCTTCTTTTTTATTTGTTTTTTTGGGATGGAGAATCTTTAATCCCACCCCAAAATCCAGGCACCCTTCATCAGCAAACCCAAAAAACTTGGATTTTCTGGGGCTGCCAGTGAACAAATCAAGAGATTTTTAGGAGAAATTTTGGCCAGGCTGCTTCTACCAAACACTTCTGCAGTGCCCTGCCAGAGGGGTGACGTTGTGCACCTTCTCCTGGATATTTTTCCATGATATCCATTATTTTTTCCACGTTATCCAGCCTTGGGAGGGTTTGGAACCCCTGCAGGAGCCTTTAGAGAACACAGGGAAGGAATTTTAGGAATCCCAAGCCTCGGGAGAGATTTTATAATCTAATTTAACTAGAAAACGTTGGTACTTGTCAAGCCCCTGGGGCGTGTCCCTGCCTCCAGCTGTGTGTGCTTGTGCTGAATTCCCTCCTCCCTCTGGAATATTCCCGAGTTTTTCCATGGATCAAGGAGAGCTGGAAGTGTTTGTGGGGTGGATGCTGCCCCACGGGAGGGGCTGGTGATGCTCTGAGTGGTGCTGAAATCCCCCCAATTCACCTTTGCCTTCCCCTCCCACGCTCAGAGCCTGCTGAGCAAATAAAAACAGATCTTTCTGCAAAGAAAAACTGATTTTTTTTTAGCCAAAGGTATCAAATTTTTAAACCAATTGGACAAATTCAGATTGGAGGGGAAGGTGCTAAACTGGATGAAAAACCCCAATTCCTCCTTGAAGAACGATAAACCAAATTTTAAACGCTCCGTGTATAACTTGGCATTCTTCCCCCTGCTCCCCTAAATCCCCCTCTTGATTTATAATGTCCTAATTATCGTATCCAGCCTTAATATGAGGGGGAAAACAGTGGAAAAATGTGGATTTTCACGGTGTCCCCATCAGCTGGGGGGTGTCACTGTGCCCCCCGTGTCCCACAGGCACAACTCCTGTCTCAGCACTTGAATGTGGTGCAATAAAGTTCTTGCAGTAAAAAAAAAATATCTCTTTTTCCTCTGCCTCTTGATGCATTTATTGCAGCTCATTAATGGTAAATAATCACCTTTAATTGAGTTCCATTATCTCCAATAGTTTGTGCTGGGTAAAGCTGTTTTTAACAGGGAAATAGGAATGATTCTCTCCCTTTATCTCTTTAAAAAATTAAAAATAAAGGTGTAAACTTACCTTGAAACAACCCCAAACAACAGCTCTGACCTTTCCCAAGAGCTGTTGCCAAAACTTTTCTGGACAAGGCTTGACCTGGCAGCACCTGAATGGGGATGATTGTTTTGAGGTGAAAATTGAGGAATTTTGGGCTCCTGAATATCAATATTTCCTCCCTCCTTAGCTCTGCAATGCTGTTGATCTCTTTTAATTCATTTAAATCATTCCAGGTGGGTTTTTTTTCCTGGATTTTTCACAGACTTTGATTTGTTTAATTTATTTAAATTGATTTCAGGTGCTTTTTTTTTCCCCCTGGGTTTTCACAGATAACGATCAGCTTTGCTCTGCTGCCATCACAGAAATCTCCTCCTTGCACTTGGGTGTTGTATTTCCAACATTTATCAGATTTTTCCCACTCCCAGAACAGTTTTTAATCCCTGTTGTCTGCCAGAGAATAAAAAACCCTTGGGAGGTGAGACTGGAAATTCCAGCTCCTCTTTTAATTTTGTTTTATTTTTTTGTTGTTTTTTAACACCAAACCCTTTTGTTTTTCCAAATGTCTGGGGTTTTTTTATTAAAAGTGAAATGTCCTGGTAATTAAAGGCTATTTAGGAGAAAAATTAGCAGCCCCTTAATTGGAGCTGAGATATTCCTTTGTAATTGGAGTCACTTTTTTTCTTCTGGATCATTTTTTTCCCACCTAAATCCAGGCAGCTGCAGCTGCTGGTGCTGGAATTGGAGATAAAACTTTAATTTATATCATTTCAAATGCTGTTTTTGCAGCAATTAAAGATGACGAGCACGCTGGAGCTGCAGGAATCACTTCAGACAATTCCAGGCTGGAATTGGAGGGGAAATTTCAGGATCAGCTCAATTCCAGAGGCTCCAGCCTGGCCACTTCCCCAGCCCAGCCTCACCATCTTCCCAGGATGCTTTAAAATAAAAGATATTAAATCATTTCATTTCATTTGAACTCTTGCAGCTCAGCTCTGGGGGAAATTAAATGATTTCCATGGTTTTGGGTGGATTTGGGGGGGTCACAAACGATCCTGGGGCTCCTCAGAGTGGAATTCCTGCCTGGAAATGGATGGATCCCTCCTGAAATCCCAAAGGATGGAACAGATAATGTTTCCACAACCCCTTTAGGCTCTCCAGGGGTGATTTTGATCGAAATATTCCTGAAAAACCCAATTTTTTTTGGGATGGAGTGAAATCTTAGGCCCTTCCCTCATTTTAGCTGACCTTAAATCCTAAAAAAAATGAAGTGTAAGTGAAATTTTAACTTTTTCATGCCATAAATTCAGTCTGGATCCGGCTGCTGCTGACCTGGGAGACATCAACAGGATAAAAAGGTGATTTTCACAAAGTTTGGGAGTTTTTTGGTTTCCTTTCCCAGGCTCTTCCCTTTGGAGCATGAAGCAGATTCCTCAGCCCAGGGTGTGGTTGGGACCAGGTAACTTTTGGGGTGACCAGCCAGGATTTTGTGTCTTGGAGCAGCTCTGGGGGAATGTGGAGGCCACCTGGGGACATTCTTCTTTTTTTCTTTAATTTTTCTTTCTTTTGTATTCGTTTTTTTCTTTATTTTTTCTTTATATTTTCTTTAATTTTTCTGTTTTTCTTTCTTTTTTCTTTCTTTTTTTCTTTTTTCTCTAATTTTTCTTTACTTTTTCTTTACTTTTTCCTTATTTTTTCTTTCATTTTTCTTTCATTTTTCCTTCATTTTTCTTTTTTCTTTATTTTTTCTTTAAGTTTTCTTTATATTTTCCTTAAATTTTCTTTCTTTTTTCTTTATTTTTTCTTTATTTTTTCTCTATTTTTCTTTCTTTTTTCTTTAATTTTTCTTTATATTTTGTTTAATTTTTCTTTCTTTTTTCTTTATTTTCTTTATTTTTTCTTTAATTTTTCTTTATTTTTTGTTTAATTTTTCTTTTTTCTTTCTTTTTTATTTTTTCTTTTTTTTTCTTTAATTTTTCTATAATTTTTCTATAATTTTTCTTTTTTCTTTCTTTAAGTTTTCTTTATAATTTCTTTAATTCTTCTTTTTTCCTCTCTTTTTTCTTATTTTTTGTATAATTTATCTTTATTTTTCTTTATTTTTTCTTTCTTTTTTCTCTAATTTTTCTTTCTTTTTTCTTTCCTTTCTTTAATTTTTCTTTCTTTTTTTCTTTAATTTTTCTTTATTTCTTTCTTTAATTTTTCTTTTTTTCTTTCTTTCTTTTCCCTTTATTTATTTATTCTTCATTCTGGCTGTGGCTGGAGAGGAACTGAGATTTGAGGAGCCTCTCTGTTCTCCTGCAGGGCCAAACTCAGGAGGTGGAGCAGGAAAACCTGGAGCCAGGTCCAAGGAAATTCCCTGATCCGAGTGTGCAGATGGATCAGAGGAGCTGGAGCAGGGGAAATCACCAGGTGAGGAATCATTTCCTGGGCAAGGAGGGAAAACAAACAGTGAGTGACTCCTTTAGGGATAAACAAAGTCAGTGGAGGGAGGGAATTGATCCCAGGATATGTGGAATGTTGGAAAGAGGGAATTGATCCCAGGATTTGGGACATTGGAATGAGGGAATTGATCCCAGGATGTGGAACATTGTCTGGAAAGAGGGAATTGATCCCAGGATATGTGGAATGTTGGAAAGAGGGAATTGATCCCAGGATGTGGGACATTGGAAAGAGGGAATTGATCCCAGGATTTGGGACATTGGAAAGAGGGAATTGGTCCCAGGATGTGGGACATTGTCTGGAAAGAGGGAATTGATCCCAGGATTTGGGACATTGGAAAGAGGGAATTGGTCCCAGGATGTGGGACATGGTCTGGAAAGAGGGAATTGGTCCCAGAAAGTGAAATATCTGAGAAGAGAGGGAATCTGGTCTCAGGATATAGAACATTGTCTGGAAAGAGGGAATTGGTCCCAGGATTTGGGACATTGGAAAGAGGGAATTGGTCCCAGGATTTGGGACATTGGAAAGAGGGAATTGATCCAGGGATGTGGGACATTGGAAAGAGGGAGTTGGTCCCAGGATGTGGGACATTGGAAAGAGGGAGTTGGTCCCAGGATGTGGGACATTGGAAAGATGGAATTGGTCCCAGGATTTGTAACACCCTCTGGAAGGAGGGGATGTGGTCCCAGAAAGTGAAATATCTGAGAAGAGAGGGAATCTGGTCTCAGGATATAGAACATTGTCTGGAAAGAGGGAATTGGTCCCAGGATTTGGGACATTGGAATGAGGGAATTGGTCCCAGGATTTGGGACACCCTTTGGAAAAAGGGAATCTGGTCCCAGGATTTGGGACATCCTGAGTTTTCCTTGGCATTGAGATTTCCACCCATGGCCGTTATCCTGGGGTCAGGTGTGTGAGCTGTGGCTGTCCCAGGTGTCACCTCTGTGCCTGCAGAGCTGATTTATCACCTGCCTCTGCCAGCTGAGAGCTGAATCCAGGATTTCCATTCCTTTTGGAATGAAACCGCTTTGCCTTGGCCTGGAAATGGCTTTGGATTCATCCTGCTGCTGGCAGAGCTGGGGAGAGCAGCGCTGGGGGCTCTTCTGGGCAGCTCTTTGTCACTTGTCACCCTCCCCTGCCCAGCAGCCGGCTGCCAGCTGAGCCACAGGCTTCTCCCAGTGTGGAAGTGTGGGAAATCCCTCTGGGAGTGAAATCCCAGGCGGTTCTGGCGTGCTGCTGTCCCCTGTCACCCCTGGAAGGTTCAGGGAATCGTGTTCCAGCTGCTGGGAATTCTGCCCGTGGATCTGCAGTGCCAGCAGTGGTGACAGAGCTGTGTCCCTGTGAGCCTGGGCTGCTTCCTCCCAGGAAAATCAGCTCCGAGGCAGGGCTGGGAGCTGGGAAGGCTCTCCCAGCTCTCCTGTTCAGGGAGGGATGCTGTGTGCACTTTGCTACTTTTCCAAATGATTTTTGGGATTATTCCGCCTGTTTGGAGCTGGGGGGTGCTTGGGATCAGAGCAGCAGCAGGTGGCATTTTTCTCTGGGCTTATCTTGGGAGGACAAAGTCACAAACGAGCAGAGGACAAAGTCACAAATGAGCAGAGGACAAAGCTGGCATTGTGCAAGGCCAGGAGAAAGGGAAAGCTCAGGGGATGGGCTGAGTGCTGTGTGTGATATCCCTGCTCCCTCCCTGCTCCCTCCCTGCTCCCACCCTGCTCCATCCCTGCTCCATCCCTGCTCCATCCCTGCTCCATCCCTGCTCCATCCCTGCTCCATCCCTGCTCCATCCATCCATCCATCCATCCATCCATCCATCCATCCATCCATCCATCCATCCCTGCTCCCTCCCTGCTCCAGGATTAATTCAGGAATTCAAGGTCAGCAGCTGCCCAGCTCTGGGAGCTGCAGACACAAAGATCCTCGAGGAAGAAGAGGAAAGGCTCCATTCTTTATCTCCTGGAGCCGTGTATCAATTATCCCTGGCGTCTCGGAGCCTGGGATGGGAATGAATTTTTCTGCTCTTTTAAGAGAGGTTTTGTCCTGGGAGAGGGGAGAGCCGAGGGCAGCAGCTTCCCCGGGATCTCAGGTGTTCCTGCTGCTGCTGCTGAGCCAAATGGTGCTGCTAGTGGGAATTAGGGAAGTGTGCTGTGCTGTGCTCCACAGGGAGAGCTGGGGAATTGGAGAGGAAATCACCAGCCCTGGGTGGCAGGGGGTTAAGGAAACAGGATCAGCTGTGAAAGAGAGGGATTAAAAAAGCCATTTTTGTCAGGATTTTGGGGAGAGGAGCTGCCCACACTGGCACAGCCTCATCACCTCCCCCTGGGCATTCCCAATCCACATCCTTGGGATCCTCATGGAGTGATGCTCCTGCACCATGGAGGGTGGTGAGACTCAGTTCCAGCCCCAT